TTTGAATGAAGCCACAAAATAATTCCGACGGCAACCACTTTTAGGGGAAGGGCAGACTTTATTTACTTGATTTGAATATTAAATGATGAAATAATGACTGAGAATTATTCCATTTTGCGATAATGGCTCTCTTAATTGTTCAAAACTACTTGCTAGTGTTGTATTAAGCAAAAAAAAAAAAAAAAAACTGCCCAGGGGAGTTGTTCCAGAGCGGAGGACTACGCGGATGTCGCCAACTTCCCATCGTTGATGTCTGGTCATGTCATGTCATGTTTTCGAACTATCAAGGAGAGGACACCATTTTGTCTTCTAGTGAAGGAGGAAAAACAAAGTGGAAAACAATCCCTAAATTGTCAGTGTGCCCATTCTCGGAAAAAAATAAGCCTCTTTTTTTTTTTTTTCCCCTCTACCTGCTAAAAATGGGAGTCCTTAGCTTGTGGACTGTGAATGTGCAGGACGGAATTCATTGAGCATTACAGACTGTATGAGCACAAACATTCTTTTGAGTACCCGCACGCAGGCAGTGTGTGAATATGTGCGATTTAAGTGACTTATTGATGGTGGAGGAGTGGGGGGGGGGGGTACACTTTTACTGCGCCAGTAAGTGGAGGCATAAATGAAAGGAGTTGTTGGTGGGCCATATATGGAAGGTGTGAATGAACGGTCAGTTGTTTCGCGTCTGACAGAGGAGAATAAAAAAAGCCCTTACGGAAAGCGATATTTTCTGATAAGCTTAAAATGAATTGTTGGGATATAGCGATAAGATGTGCTTACAATTGCTGTGGACTGTATGCAACAGCATATATTCCATATTTTTTTCCTTGGTGTTTTAAAAGATCTTTATGATCATTTCCGGGTCAAAACAAGATAACATTTCTCAGTAGGAGAATGCGCCCTAGTGTGTGAGTAAAGTACTTATCAATGTAACATTCCGTATACAACTCATGTCATCAGCAAATCAAAAATATGTTTTCATTCAGGAAAAAAAAAAAATTAAATCACTGGGTTAATTGTCCATATCATCCTGTAAATTTTGTCATTCGAAATGTCCTTGATTGAATATGGAGAAAATTAAGTTTCCGAGCCAGTGTCATGCAGAGCATAATAATGCTTCCTAGTGAGGAAGGGTGAGGGGGCGGCTTCCAGGAAGGAAACTCAACTTCCCATAGATGGTTGCATGCTCGTCTTTAGACCGCAAATTAGTTGAGAATGAATCAAGAACGCCTCTGGTGAGTTCTTGTATTTCATGTTCCCCACTTGGTCTGGGCTGCTTCATGGGAAGTGAACAATGTGCCTGGACACGCAGACAAATAAGAGTAAGCGATTTCGATAAACGATTTGGTATGATTGCACAAAAATCCCCAAACGAGTAGAGGAGCCAAGTAAGAATTAGTTGAATCTCGGTGAGGAGCTAACAGAAAGGTACAGATAGATACACTCACGTGCTATCACCAAAGGTATCAATGGAACTGACCAGACTCTTGACTTGTGCAGATCATGTAAGATTGCCTCTTATTTGCCATCTCATGTCCACACCAAGATAAACACTTGCGCTCATCATGCTAATGAGATTCTGGTAACGCTGCCTAATTTTTGGTGCACGTGTGTTTGCCAGAGCTAACATGCTTGTGCCACTGCAAGGCGTTTTATAATGACGCAGAAACAAACACCTTGCAGTCAACTCGAAAGTCAACATTTTCCGAGAAGAGGGGAAGGAGAAGCAGCTGTTTCACACTCTGTAATAACATATCCTAAAGTAGTCAACAAAGCCAAGTACATGCAAGACTGGCCTCGATACTTTGCCTTACTCTTCGAGAAGAAACAAGAGTGAACACAATAATAGTCAGATCCAAAAAGGGAAATGGGTATCCCCTTGCACCAGCTATTATCTGTACAGACTTAGACACACACACACATACACGCACACACACACACACATGGAAGTGAACAATGTGCCTGGACACGCAGACAAATAAGAGTAAGCGATTTCGATAAACGATTTGGTATGATTGCACAAAAATCCCCAAACGAGTAGAGGAGCCAAGTAAGAATTAGTTGAATCTCGGTGAGGAGCTAACAGAAAGGTACAGATAGATACACTCACGTGCTATCACCAAAGGTATCAATGGAACTGACCAGACTCTTGACTTGTGCAGATCATGTAAGATTGCCTCTTATTTGCCATCTCATGTCCACACCAAGATAAACACTTGCGCTCATCATGCTAATGAGATTCTGGTAACGCTGCCTAATTTTTGGTGCACGTGTGTTTGCCAGAGCTAACATGCTTGTGCCACTGCAAGGCGTTTTATAATGACGCAGAAACAAACACCTTGCAGTCAACTCGAAAGTCAACATTTTCCGAGAAGAGGGGAAGGAGAAGCAGCTGTTTCACACTCTGTAATAACATATCCTAAAGTAGTCAACAAAGCCAAGTACATGCAAGACTGGCCTCGATACTTTGCCTTACTCTTCGAGAAGAAACAAGAGTGAACACAATAATAGTCAGATCCAAAAAGGGAAATGGGTATCCCCTTGCACCAGCTATTATCTGTACAGACTTAGACACACACACACATACACGCACACGCACACACACACGAACAGGAAGTTCACAGCTAAAAGCGAAAAGCGATGTTATCTGCGGCGAGACGTTGCTTTTTCCATGAAGTCATCACAGGCTGCGCGGCAAACAAGAGGCCAACTGTTTGACTTGCACAATATGGCGCTATACTGTACTCCGCAGCTTGGCCACACATGCAAATGACAGGCCAGGAGGGAAAGGTGGGGCTGTGAACATTCAACACTCCGACACTGACTCGAGGCTTCACACAAGCTGACAGCGCTACAAGCACGCAAAAGCTGATACTAAACAATAAAAGGCAATTCGACAATTGATGGACATACAGGAGATATCCACCAAGGCTGAACTGTTAAAAAAAGCTTTGTGTGTCATTGTTAGCAAGCAGGCTCTATCCTGCTTCTTACGTGGTGACGAACAAATGAGAAACACTCTTAAGATTTTGATGGATGAACTGATGTGAACATATGTAACTGTATCTACACCTTTATCCAGATTCTCTCCAAAATTTTAAGGGTTCTTCCTTGGCATGTTCACAATCTGAACCGACCCACAACCATTATTTTCCATTGAAATAAAATAATTCCAAACATATTTGTTGTAGTTATAAAATGAATACAGTACATGATAAAATGTGCTATTTTACTTGGAAGGAATTACACTGAGAGATGTCTTAGCCTATATAAGGGGAACTCTCGCTAGCTATTGCATGATGCTAATGCTATCACCAGCTCTTTTCGTATTTATCCACACAAACTATCATTATTCTACCTTCTCTATTATTTAAGGTCTATGTGGCTGCCCTTATTACCTTTGTTCTTAACATCGATGTAAGAATTGGATCCAGGGTATACCTGGAAATGATCAAATCGCAAGGTGATTGTTGTTGTGTTACATTGAACCTTGTGTCTCACTCTCCAGGCACGACTGGCCAACTTGTACTACATTCAACTGTTAAAACAGATGGTACATTTCCCCAGTCGAAACTGCACAAGATCAAAAACGCCAACATCACTCTATTACAGTGGAACCTGGATTTAATGGTCCCGGAAGCAATGGAGTCCTGATTTAAAGGACAGAAAATAGTGTCCAGACCACTCAAAATGCCCCTTTGTAATAGTACATTTCAAATTCTCTAAGTTTTGGAATTGGTCACAACTTGCCAGAGCGACTGGAAACAGTGCCCCTTTCCGGCTTGTGCTGCTTTCTTGTCGAAGATAAGCAGACTTACAGAAGACTAGAGCAGGCTAAAAAAAACACACCAATGTGGTGGCCATGTTGGCAGGGGGAACTTCCCATCAAAAACAATGAATGTACATCCGTGGCAGCCATGTTAGAAGGGGCGAGTGTTCCATCAAAGTTAATGGGAAGCATTGCCCAAAGGATGCAGCTCAAAGTATATAGTAAGTTAAGACCTTATCTATGGCAACTAATCATAACAGAGGTGAATAAAGGAAGTGCCAGCATCGTGACTCATGAACATGATCAGATACATGCCATTTCCTCAAAGCACCAACAAGGTAAGCTTGAATAAACTTGAAAATTTTGCAAACAGTTTCAATCTTTTTTTTTTTTTTTACATATTTATTGACAGTGAATTTGCATTGTATGTAAGCACTACGATGTCATGCACAACCGGCACTAGCTGAGGAGCCTTCCCTTAATTAGCCCGTTAAATCGAGGTTCAACTGTATTAATTTTGGGGCCATTTGTATTTCCCTGCTGCGAGGCTGATGCCATGACAGCCCGCAGTTTTTATTTGATGTTATCTTGTGACTTGAGCGGTAAAGTATCAGCCTATTTTTGAGAAACAGGTGTTTAAAATGAAAACAGGTTGATCAAGCTTTTGGGTTTCATCGACGTCATCGCCTCATCTTCCATTCGAGTAGTTGAAGTGTGTGTACTTCCTGCACGGTGGCCTGAATGACAAGCAGGGATGTGCACGGTGTGTACACAGAGGAAGGCTGCGGGTTTGTTTGACTTATTTTAGGAACCTGACATAAGACGACTTCAAAGGACCAGCAGACCAGATTAAAGGAGTTAATTAATATCTTTAAGGGTAAATGGCTTGTCATTTGTTCGAGACTCTTACAGAGTCCCTGCAAGGACAGTTTCAATAAGTGAGCATACCAGTCCTGGTGGTGCATATAAGGCGTACAAATAACTATCTTGCAGTCCAGTAATTAGAAATATAGAGTACATTTATGTGTATTATAGAATGAGGGACTCCGTCTTTGTGACGATGTAACAAAATCTTCTTCGTCCTAATATTTAAAAAGGCGCCATTTAATCTAACATTGCACCGAAAGTTCATCAGACAAATGCAATGTAAAGCCCATATTTTGACAGATCCTAATTGAATCTTGCAGGTTTCAAGATGGGGGGTGTGATGAGGAAATAAAGAAGTAAAACTACTCACCGTTCGGCCCATATTTCTCCAATTGCACTTTCACTTGCTCCTGAGTCAGTCCGGTGTTTTCATTCACGCCGAAAAAGTCTAAAACTTCACTCGCCGCTTTGGTGTGCGCGTTTTCCATCTCGGCGTCGGCGGATAAAATTTGGCGCTTAGATGAGGGGATGAGAATGCATGGAGTTGAACATCTACTCAGGCGCTCGTGTGGTGGAGACGAGCGAGCGATGTGGTGGTGTTGTTAAGGGGGGGGGGGGGTTCTCAAAGATTTTCCGCAGACTGACGCTGAGGCGGCTGGATGCTTCTCCTTGCACGAGATAACCTGTCGCTCCCCGAACAAGAACAAGCGATCCCCCGGCTCCGAACGAGTCGCACGCGGCTCTGCTTCAAATGCTCGCCTGCTGTCGACCTCATCTGCATGTGAAGGTGTGCTGGGTGTGCGAACCGGCGTGCGCCGCCTCTCATCTGTTGTACACTCCCTCCCGCGCCCCCATTGGCTGCGCATACCTGTCGGCACTCAGTCCGGCTGCGGGGACTTCCTCCGAACGCACATGACGTACACAAGCCAGTCCTAGTTTTGCATGCGGTGATCTCTTCGTATGTAGTGGTGGCATGTAAACATACGAATATTTGTTTCTCTTTCTGTTGTCGTGAAGAGGAAACGATATCCCATTTGTTTTGGGACTGAATAATCTTATCAATTCAGCATTTGAAACCTCAATCGAAATGCATTTCAGACATGTGTTTGAGCTCCAGTACCTAATTTCAAAGAACTCCGTTTACTGAAGGATACGTTTTATGTTGTCAACATTGTTTTAATGTTGGTAAAATTTCATATTAACTGTGTAAAATTTGCAAGTCAGTGACCAAATTTTACTGTATTTAAATTTTGGCAAAAAGTATACATTTTCGCAGATTTGTACTTTTGGGTCATTTTAGAATTGAAGGAGATTTTCTGTCCTTGTCCTTCAGGGACAGCGGTTACTACAGTGGACAGCTAGTGACTACTAACTACTTTTTTTCTGGTGTGAATACGTGCAGAGTATCCTCAGTAGACACTACAAGCATATTTTGCATGTTATTAACGTCACCTCGAGACCTGGGAGTTTACTTCCTGGAAAACCACCGATGAAGTCATGTGACATGCTAAGAAAGTCCAACCAAATGGTACGTCACACATTTGTAGACCATGTTCAATGTTTACTGATTAAGCTAATGCACCTCATAAATTTCAGGTTAAACTTTTAGATTATGCGTAAACCTATTTTAAATCTAAGTGATACAGTTTGAAATGCAATTTGTTTGTTTTTTTGGGGGGGGGGGTTGTTTGTATTTTAACAGAAGGAAAATGTATTTTATGCATTTGGGCAGAAGTGAAATGAATTTGCCCATTCATTCACTGACAGGGAGCCAGCTCCAGGGAAAGTGACGTGACACATTTCCTTTCCATCACTTTATCCTTAATTGTGAGGTTACTACAGGACGTACAGAAATGGGTGTTCTGTTAGAGCTCACTAGAACCAGAATGGGACCTCGGTGTTCCAATTCTGTCCAACGTTACAGCTGGTCTCATCGCTCACGTTGGGGTGAAAAAAAAAAGGTGTTTTCATATCTGCTGCTTATAACAATGAAACATTTGCGGAGAAGGTTTTCTGTATGTGTCAGGGACTCATTCTGAGAATTGTCTCTTTGCCTGCATCATATTACAGTACATATCATGAATCAATTGATTATATAGAATTCTCACCAGACATGCACACTCAGGGAAGATAATTATGAATCATCATCTCATTTCTCTCTTCAGTTTATGTTCGTTATGCCCTTTGCGTCCTTCCTTGCAGTGACGAGTTTTGAAAGAAGCCCGCCGTTCGTACAATTCGAATGGAAAGGGTGGAAAAAAAGGTTTTGCAGAACCATGGGTGCCACAGCCAGCCTCTCTTTAGGATATCACCCTCACTCAAATGGTCAAAGTGAGAGGGTCAGCCAAGGCCTGGAGACGGCTCTCCGATATGTTCGTCTCCATCGCACCTTTCAAAACAGGCTTGGCAGTAGCTCTCATACACACGCACAAACACGTCCACTCCTCTATCAGTGCATCCAGACAAAATGCTTTACAGGTCAATCATTTTTTTGGGCCAAGATGAGTCACCGTGATAATGGGGTTTTTACCGAAAGCCATTCTCTCGGTAATGGAATCAAAATGACCATTTACCAAAGGTAGATTAGCGGAGGCTGCCGTGCTCTACGTAAACCCAAACATAGTCGTGCTCCATCCTACACAAGTGAACCACGAGACCAGTAAAAAGGTGGCGCAAAGTCTGATTGGACAGGCGCTGTACATCGTTGAACTAAACCATTCTCCATGATGAAAAAGAGATTCAGATTAATATAACAAAGGAGAAGCTTGAGCTGGGTGGTAATCTTTTACTCAACAGCAGTGTTATTCTACAACAATGTAAAGCTTCAGATGAAGTCGTCGTTCACCTAAGGTCAATAAAAAGGCAGATGGTGACAGGAATCGAACACAGTTTTATTCTATGTCGCTATCTAGTGCGATGTTAGCTTCTTGCTGACTGAGTTGCGATGAAGAGCTTAGTTGGAGATTCGTGTTTTAACTTCACAAAATACCTAAATGGGGATGTGCTCAAATTTGTGTTGGGCATATTCAGTAACTGTTTTGTTTATCAGACAACTCACAGATATCATTTTTTATTTTATTTTTCACATACCACGTAGTACTCGTCCTAGCTACTGAAGAGATGTAATAGAGATTTAGAACTGCCTGGGCAAATGTTGCTTCTGTGGACGATACAGTTATGTGATCCTAAATGTAACTTTACCGTTGTGTTGTAAACAACGATGGCACCACGCTACTGAGAAATGTAGTCAAACTTGTGACTTTGCCACTACTGGCCTCCGGGTTATTAGTCCAAGGGCTGCTAAGCTAGGAGGGAGGCATCTAACACCATCTGTCATTATTGTCCAAGTTACAGAAATGGAAGCATACATTCCTGCGGGACAATAACGTGGCCTCTGCACTTAAGAAACTATTCAGTTCTTCCTAGGTAAAGCATTGAGATGATTTATGGGTCCAGAGGGTGGATGTTGGTTCTCGCACTTTGGCTCACTTATGCTATTAATAGCGGTCATCAACTTCACGGCAGTCTCCTCTTCAACCCTTCTGTCTTAGTCAGACACGGTTCATGTGATGCATCTTCTCCAGCAATTAACTCCCGCATCAAGAGCTGTCAACACATGCAGATGGGTCAGAAATTTGTCCTTTGAAGCGACAGAGCTGCTCGGAAAAAAAACAAACTTCCAGATGGAGCAGTGATGAACTCAAGTCGGTGGGTGACTGTGAGCGGGCAGACGATCCCAAATGCTTAATTGTCACAGAATGTAATTTTAACTAAGAAAAGGGAATATCTAATAAAGGCTAGAAAAGATTGCGTGGGTTTTCTCTGGGTACTCCGGTTTCCTCCCACATCCCAAAAACATGCAAGGCAGGCTGATTTAACACTCAAAAATGTCCCTAGGTGTAGGTGTGAGCGCAGATGGTTGTTCGTCTCTGTGTGTGTCCTGAGATTGGCTGGCAATTGGTTCAGGGTGTCCCCCGCTTATTGCCCGAAGACAGCTGGGATAGGCTCCAGCAACCCCCGTGACCTTAGCGAGGATAAAAGCGGATCAGAAAATGGATGGATGGATAAATTACCGGAAAATGATTTGTTTTCAGGCTTGAATGGTTACTGGAAGATTGTCTTTTTATTTGCATCGACTAGCAGACAAACCCGAGTTTCATTGAGAATGTGTTCCAGCATTCGCAAATCCTTTTTTTTTTTTTTTATTTTAAAGGTATTTATAGAATACGGTCATTTGTCAAAAGTCTGGTTCCTCGTCTCATCTGATCCTTTTCTCCGGGTTGCTAATCACTTCCAAGGACAGAATGGCTCATTTCAATGGATCTTTTTCACTCCCCAAATGCCAGTTATGGAAATGACCAATGTGCACGCTTTTCCACATCACAGTAGACGGAGCGCAACAAAGGCAGCAGTCACGTCTGGTCAGACAGTTCCAATTACTAATCAGTGACCTGGGAAATAGACTAGCTGGTGTCGGTGGAGGAAGGCGGGTGATAACTGGGAGCCGAGAGAGGGGGACCGGAGCAGGTGGCGCACAAAACTATGCTGTCGGATTTGAATGGAGGAGAGCTGCAAAGTCTCACTATTGAATTTTTAGCACGACGGCGAACGGTCGCTACGAAACCACAAATAAACGTGCATTTCCAAAGATGACCATAGACGGTGGTCGAACAACAGTATATGACTCCGCTGAACGAGGGAACAGCTCTTGTTCCTTTTACCTGACTGCAATGTCAACAAAAACAGAAACATCCTTGGTCTGCCTCTCCCAGGGCGCGCAAGCGTCCCGTCCCGTGCGTGTACGTACATCTGAATTATGGATTGCTCCGAGTCCAGCGGTGACTGCTCTCATGCTTCCCTGCAAACATATTTAAATGAGAGACAGATGGTCCCTCGCCATCTTGCTCCTGCTCATCAACTCTTCATCGCAAAATGTCAGGACATTACACGCCGTAATATACTGTCTGACCTGAAGGCAATAAAAATAAAAATTCATATCCTTTCACAATTTGAAACCGTTTGGTTTGTTCATTCACCCGATAGCTCCGCCGAGTTCTTTTGTGGGCTGTTTGTCATCCGTCACCGGTGTATCAGGCAAACTGTGCTTTTCACGTTGCCTTGCGGCAGTTCATTCACGCCTCGTCTTCAATAACTGTTCTCCGTGATCGTACACGCGTCGCCAGAAATGAATGAGGTACATCGCCATGTACCTCATAGTTGCTGTTAGTTGCTCTTACTTTTCATTTTGGGGTTGGTGAACCGCTGGCAGGACTTCCTGGCTCGGTTCGTTCCAACTGCCACTGCCTGTCAAGAATGAAAGTGTCAACATGTTGTTTAGCTTATCCTTTCTGTGACATCATAAGACTTCTACGTACAAAAGGGATATGATATTTAAATTGATAGTTTGGAGAAGAATAGTTGTATCTGGAGTGCCTGCCCACCAATCAAATGTGAAACAATACAACCAAGTCATGTCAAATCACTATTTTTTCTGCCTACCTCTCAGAACTGTTGTGCACTTCCTGTAGCGTCACAGTAGGGTTTCATTTCAAGGGTACTCTATTTTTCATCTCCCGCCCAGGGGAGAAATTTGTTCAGACTGCATTTAGGATAATCTATATCTCACGAAGAAAAGGCCACATTTTACGAAACTCACCTCACTTTGGACACGAGCTTTTCCAGCACCTTTACTCTGATAAGCATTCCCAAAACAACCCAAAAAAAAAAAAAAAAACAGCTGACCAATTTAGGAGCATCTTTCCCCTTGCCATGAACTAAATTCTTAAACGGTTGACTTGTAATTTGATATTGACGCTCGTGTCATTTAACACATTGTCCTGCTGTGCCATTATTACTGCATTCATCATTCAGCCTGCATCATTTGTAGAACAGGTTCTTGGAATGCTATACCAATTTACTTACAGAATTACAATTTTGAGTATTGGTCTTGTTTAAATTTCAACAAGGTGGGGACTTTTAGTGCTCCTTGCAGTGGACGTAGATGGGGGACTTTGTACCGCCGACTCCAGCTAATGGGTGAGTCATGGGGATGGAGGTCAGAGATCAGGACAGCAGATGTGGATACCACAGAGAATTTTGATCCTCTGGGAAAAGATTTCTTTTTTTAGTCGATTCGGAGATAAATGTGATGTACTGGTGTTGAACATGTTCATGTTTAACATTTTTTGTAGATATATCTTTTTCGGTGGTTCAAGAGGAATGGAAACAAAAATGAATCATTGTAAGTGTCCACGATAGCTGCCAACAGAAAATAAATTCTCCTTTTTGTATCCATTTGTTATTGAAGTTACTTTTTGAGGTGAATCAGAAAGCTCGCCAATTAGGGAGCAACCTGAAGCTTGTGCGAGTTCAGGACACAAGTGGTTGTGTTGAGTGTTTAAAAATAAAAAGAACGTGCCTCACTAGTCATTCACCACATTAAAAATAAGGAAGAGCTTGCAACTGGAGTTGCCAGATAAGGTTAGCCTTTCTTCTTTTACAATTACTCTTTCTGTGTTTTTTTCTCAGACTGACCTTCTATTATTATATGATAATGTTTTCAACTGTATGTTATTTGCTTTGTGTCTTATAGCTTTTTTTTTTCTTCAATATCTTCATGACAGCGAAACACGCTTCTATGGTTCAATTTTTCAAACGATAAATACTTTGAATCTATGACAACAGCTTTCGCAAACTGTCATGTCGCAACATCTTCATAATCTATATCAGATTTGAATTTCGGTCAATGGAAAAAAAAAAAAGTCCAGTTTCCTTGCGTCAACCTTTCTGAATTACCATAACCTCAATAACTGAAAAGGTGAGAAAAAAAATAGCGAGAACAAAACTAATTTTCTTGAAAACGCTAAAAATTGCTAAAGGCAAGTATGCTCGGAGGCTAACGACTATTGCATCACAGGGAAAGCGCCAGCACAACATAAATAAACAGCATTTAACTGGTGCACGGATAAATGTCAAATGCAAAGCAAACACCAGCAGTACATTTAGATAAGGAGCATTATGCAAGCATGTGGACACTCGATAAATAAAGACAGTTAAATACCTGCAGGCATCGCTAAAGGATGAACTCGCAATACTTTGTGGGTTGAGTGTTTTTATGCTTTTGCCCTCTCTGTCTCATTTTCTCTCTCCGACACCCAAACATGTCTTGAATAGAATTTAAAGATTAACTCCAGGTGTAATTAAGAGGCCAATTCAACCTGTTCGATGTCAAGCATGCAGTTCTATCATCTGAACGCCCAGGCTATTTTCAACACTTTAGATTGCTCAATAACAGCAGTGATAATAATAACCCACTTGTGTGGATTAACTCATAGTATAGATTTGTGGAAAAAATGTGAAATTTACAAAGTTGAGTCACATTTATTTATGCAGCCATTAATCACAGAAAAGTCTCAAAGGGCTTCAAATGCCTACAGTGGACAAATATTTATGACATCCCCTGATCTGGACCCCAAGGAGGGGAAAAAAAAATAAAGGGCAAAAATTTGAAACCTTGAGAAGGGGCCGCAGATGGGGGAATCCCCCTTCGAGAATGACCAGCACAATGACAACAAATGCCGAGTGGGCAACATTGAAAACAAAATGGTCCCTTCGATAAGCTGAAACACTGGAGGAAGAAGCATTCGGAGAGGTGGGTCCTCCTCAAAACCCAGTCCGGTTGGACCAAATTGTGACATAGCAGCTTTCGGCCCCACGCCAGCAATATTTTATTTTCTGATGTTATGACTTGATGATTTTATCAAGAATAGGATAGTGTATATTTTTCTGCCATTTACAATTTGTAAATTATTATTGTCAGTATCTTGGACATACATATATACGTTTTTTCTCAATAAAAAGTTTATTTATTTATTCTTCTGAGTCTACACATTTTTTATTTTATTTTTTGGTGGACGCAATGTTCTTTTGCTACCCGAGTTAAAATACAATTTTACAAATCCACCCCAATTTCAAGCATGGCTGCAGTCATGACTGTACAATGTGTCCCTTCAAAGCAAATGCACATCAACGTGTTGGAAGGTTTTGTGACATTGGGTGTCACAGACAGCAACATTAGCGAGCAGACCAGGAGCAGGTGTATCGCTACAGATGGGAGGAATTACTCACCAGTGAACCTGGCAGTTATCTCCCGTCCTCCCACATGCTCCGAAATGGTGGAAATGACAAATCAGTTTGTCACCCAAAACAGAGCTTTGTGCTCAAGGGCCACAACAATTCGGGAGACTTGGACGTTGGCTCTCAATGGATTTGTGACTCTCTCTTGAGGAAGGTGTGTTGTGATTCTGAATTTTATATTTTCATGAAGCACTCTGTGAGTCCCCCTGGAAAAGATGCTGCATAAATAAAACCTATACTTTAACATTTATAAGAACCAAAACATCGCTTCCTTTTCTGTCTCTGAACTTGAAATTGAAATACAAACATCCACTCAAGAACAATTGTTGGTATTTCATCAATACATCTATGTTGGTATGTTGCTCTTTTCACCATAATAAGAAACCGGGGGAACAGATGAGAAACCTCGCACCTCGTTTACCAACCTGTTATGTTTTCGCAGGCACGTTCGCAAACACATGGCCACTGTGCAAATGACACACACCGCCCACATACAGTATTTACCGCGCTGATGAACCGCACGTCGACAACATGCACGCAAATACATGTTACGGTGAGATTTGAAACGCGCAATAACTAGCTTTTATATTGTATTGTTGAGGGAATTTGGTGTCTTCTCTACGCAGCTGCAAAGTTGGGGGGTGGGGGGAGATATAGCTGAAGTGTTAAAAGTTTTGGAGGTCTGCTCACGGCTATGAGGGCTGTGCAGTGATGCAGCAAAGCCCTCGAGAAAATTTGCTGCCCACGTTACAGACTTGAAATAAAACGATGCCCTGATTAAACAGCTCTTCTTCTTCACAGCAAAGGCTCAAGATTTGCACACATGCGAGCGGAAGGCAGATCGCCCGCATGTCCTAGATGGAAAGCCCAGCCAAATACGGTGCGGCCCTTCGCTCTCAAAAAGGGAATTGAAAATATACTCAATGACTCAAAAAGGAGCCTTGGCGCCCCAGTGATGTAAATATTACGCTGCGAAACTCTGCCTGACACAATCTTGGCAAAATGTATCCACGCCGCCGTAATGTTCCTGAAGCAGGCTTTGCAACGTATTAGTCTGAGTAAAACCTAAATGTGGTTGAGAAAACTCGCTCAAGAACAAGAATCTATTTATTGTTTCGGCTTGTGTGACGGCGGGTCTGCTTGACTTATGTGCAGCATTTGACTAACAAATGACAGCAAGCAGGGACGTAAACAAGGTAAAAAAAATGTGTGTCTGCCTGTGCACGCATGCATTCATGCATGTGCCGTGGTCGCACTGATCGGAACAAGCATAAAAAAGTGGAATTGATTTTGAATGACCAAACAAATATATTTATGATATAGAAAGGCCCCTGTTATTTCCAGTGCTATATTTAGTCCTTTTTACTCAAACTGTGCTACACGTGGCGCGTGTGTAACCACTAACTGTGCTCACTGAAATTCAAGGACAGAAGTAGTGCTCATTCGGCTCTAAACTGGATGGCAAACGAGGAAATGCAGAAAGACTAAAAGATAGAAAATAACGATCAAAAGAATGGACCATGTTCTCTTTCTGGAACTTTTTTTTTGGGGGGGGGGGGGTTATCTATCTACTCGGTCGAGACCTGACGCGGAAGCATGGGACGCACCTTTGCATCGTTAATGATCGTAGCTCACGTGTACCGTTTGAAAATGCTTCTCCCGGCACTCCAGATTCCCATTCTTTGCCATTGGCCGCTGTGAATTGTACACAAACAAACCCTGGATGCGAATAATAATAACAACAATAAAAGATCTCAGCAACAGCTCCGATCGCAAACTGCAATTCCAGACTGCTGACGGGCGAACAACTTCCGGTGATGCAGGTCACGCGCAACAGTAGGTTAAAGGTGACCTGTTTTTTTTTTTTATATATTTTATTGTATTTTTTAAGTACGTTTTGTAAAAGTGAGACCGATATAACGCTAAGGGTGCAGTGTGGATTCGCACCAAAATATAAGATTAATAACACACACACAGAAACACAAATGGTTTGGGCTGCTTTTTTTTCCCCTTGACATTCGCGATCGACTTTGGACCACTCCGCGAGCTACCGGTCGATCCCGACCGACGTATTGGCCACCCCTGATCGATTGCATCAAGAGTATGTGCTCTCACCCATGTGGCTGAGACACACACAAGGACATAGCATCTGACTTTGACAGGTAGCCAGAAAGCTGCGTGCGAGTCACTCTCGCACACGCGCCCGCGCACACACACAAAGTGACTGTTTTGAAAAGGGAATCCCCAAATAAACGATGGCTACAACTCATATTTTTAAATGAACTACTTTCCAGTGTGGTCAATGCTGACTCAGGTTTACTTTTAATTTCCATCTCTTACAAATCATTTGAAAACTTTCCCTTCAGCCGTGTGTCGTTAAAAAGTGCTCCCCTTTTACAATGAGAAACGTCTTCTGGAGCGACGCATAAATGAAGAATGGTACTCGTCTTTTGTTTTTTTCAGTTAAATAAATAATATAGGTGGTCATTAAATATGAACCAGCATTTACTTCATTTAGCCTGAAGCCTCTTTGTGTACCGGGGTCACTGTCAGAAGGGATACCAAGCGTGGTGGTATCAAAACGAGGGAATTAAACTATCATCTTTCACAGTCAGGCACCAGAAGAAAACGGGCATTGTGTGGCACGGTTACAAGTTAATGAGACAAGTAGGACAGCCCAGAGCTGTGCCTTGGTGTGTGGCCGGATTCTAAAAGGAAATGGAATATGGAACAAGTCAAGCTTGTGTTTTCAAAGGAGGAAAGTACAGCCGTTGAAATTTTTCTACATTGGATTCCGTTTACATGGCCACCCACAAGTGTCACCTTCACCTGATTTCAAGGGCACGGATAGAATACCTTGATGTCATGTGCAAGTGACACACTTGTCACGCAACAGAAGGCTCCAGCTTATGTACAGTACAGTATGTAGTTTCTACTCAATTAATAAAATGCATAATACAGTACTCTCGGTCAAGCTCGATTTATTATTTGTGCTTGGAGGTGAAAAGAGCAACGTGAATTGCGATCACACAAGCAGAGACGCAATCATCCAAGGTCAGCATTTTTTTGAGAGGAGGTTGCATGTTTTGACTGTGCTTCGGTGAAGTCTATGCAAATTCATGTGAACTAAGGAAATTAGGCCACGAGAGGGTGACCCTGTCCGATACACGTGAGCCGGCCCTCATGCTGCCCCATATACTGTACATGTACTGCCAATGATGAGTGCAGATTTGATTACCATGACAACCAGGGGCATCCTACATTTTAGAGCTCAAGACTCGAAAAAAGTGGCCGCAGACTGCGAAGCACACCTGAGCCCCTCCATGAGATGAATTGATTCCATTTTCCCTCCAGAACAATTGATTCTATTTTCCCTCACGGAGGCAGCGTTGTGCCACTTACCTTTTTGGTGTTGACAAACAGGAGAATGTCGCAGTCAAATTCCAGCTGAATTGCAAGAACAGACACATTTACAAGAATAGGCAGATGACAAAAGACATACTTGAGTTTCACCTGTGTAATTTCTCACCGTCAAGGTTGAAGATCTTTTTGGTGATTTTGAGGTGGAGGACCCAATGCAGGGAAACAGGAAGGCGTGCCTGGGGAGCAAGAGTATCCCCCCCCCCCCTTCAAAAAAGCCCTTTTCCTAATCTTCCAAATGAGTCAACGGGCTAAGCACTGCAGCCTTCACCTTTCCCCGGCCATCCATTATATCAGAGCCACAGGTGGTCCTTCCAATAAAAGCCAACTCCTAACCCAGATCAATCTCGAAATGAGACCATCACCCGCCATCTTTTTTCTTCAGGTGCAGTGACACCGTATTATCCGCAGAGCCGCTAAATATGAGCACAGGGCTTCAGTGTCTCTTACTCTCAGAGGATTATTTGAACGACCCAATTATCCCTGAGCGCAATGAGGGCTGACCTCCGCTGGCCTTCTGTCCCAGGTGGGTGAGAGGAAGTGGGTCTCATTATGACGAGGTGAGGATGTGCTAGCCTTTACATCGACATGCACAAAAGGGATCAGGTGTGCACGACGAATAGATGGGCAAAGGTTAAAAAAATAAAAAACAACTTCGACACAGCTGCCAAGAACATGAAGATGGTAGTAGCGTTGAAAAGGAGCAGCAGATAAAACTAATAATAAGATTAAAACCAAGTCACCCAAATGTGACAGTGGAAA